TATGTAATACATATTTTATGAGGTAATGACTTACCTGAGTGTATTAGCCAGTGTTATAATGCTGATTGTAGAAAAAAATAGGCTAAATATGCAGTATTAGCTTACAAAACTCAACTTGCCTGCAGCCACTTCAAATTTTGGGGGAAAAAAGCCCATGTTTCAGTACCAAGGTTTTCTGATTGCAGTTTGTTTTCTTTCCAAAATAGATTAGATAAAATGACTGGAACCAGACTTTAACTACAAGAATATATATCCGTAGTGGAAAGGTTGATCTACTGTCAGATTTTATTATGAGATTGGTTTTTTATTAATAAGGCTACTTCTGTAAGGCACATAATTGTAACTTTTTGAGCTTATACTTTCATGTATTAAAATTTTAAAGATAACTTGTTTTAGAGAGGAACACCTGGTTGTCAAATTTTGTGCTAGAGATAAAATGAGTCTGTTTTATTCCAGGATTTAATTTTCAGTGACATGAAAAAATATTGTAAAGAAGAATATTTGGTATAGAATTGAGTTTTCAGTTTGGTTTCTTATATATAAAAATGTATCTCACCATCATTTATTTAGACTTAAAGGTTACTGTATAATAATTGTTAAATATTTTTTAGTAAATCACTGTCTTGAATTTAGCAAAATTTAATGGCTTAAATATATTCAATTGTTTATGCAGCACCATTTATATAATTATGGAGGCATTTAATTAACATTTCCTTAAGGAACTTCTACTAAAATAAAATAAGTGACACGATTTCACTATATGCCTACTCTGAAATTATTTTGGAGCTTATTGTTTTAATTTAAAATTGTTGTTCCTTGACTTAGCATATTTATTTATCCCTGAAACTTCATGAAAGCTTAAAACTATTTTTCAAAGTATACACTCTTTAGGCCAATAATATATTTCTCAAAAATCTCAATGCTAAATTCCTTCAAGAGATTCTGATTTTTAAAAAGCGATAATATTTCCTTGACCCAGCAAAATTACATTATGCTGGGTTGTATGAGTCACATTTTTGCTTCAGTAGTGCTACATAACCAGCAACTCCAAAATCTGTGGAATACTTATGTGTGAACTGATTAAACTGATCTCCAGGCTGTGAATAGAAACTATGTCTTCTCCACATATCTTTCCATGTCCCAGACTGAAGGAATCATGACTATCTGGGGCAAGATCTCAGGTTAAATGGTGGAAACTCAAGAGGGCCTGGGAAAATGTGCTATGCCTTTTAAAATTGCAGTTTGGCATGACAAACTGTCTTCTCCATTCATTATACCGATCATAGAGCTTGATTCCCCTAATAGGAAACCCAGCATAATCCTTTATTAAACAGTGTGGATATATGATTCTGTTCTGTTAAGGGGGTGAGAACCTAGAAACCTATATCCACTGCACTTGAAAGCCTACATACTTGAAGTTCTATAAAAACCAGATGTTTAATAATGTAAATTACTTAAACTTTTTGTTTTGTTGGATTGTTTATAAAAGGTGACCAATTTTCTTTAGCAGATATTGAATTGAAATTATCTGCTTTCTGTAAATTAATGTTATTACATACATGTATGATTGTAGACTATTAAAAACAATCACTGGTATTTCTACTTTGTTGATAATTAGCCTTTGTTTGGTGTTTCCTACTTTATAACATGCTTTTGTATTTTTCCATTTGATTCACAAATGAGTTAGGTGATGTGTGATCTTTATTTTATACGAAAGTAATTGAAACAATAAGCTTTGTGCTTGAAAAAGTTAGAACTACTAACTGGAATTCTCTCACAGATTTTCAGAGACTTCAAGTCCAGTTATCTTTTCATCACTCTGTACTGGATCTTATGTTCCCATTTCTTCTTTTTCCAAATTTATATAATATTTATAACAGGGGAGTCAAAAGTTTTATGGAAAAGGAGAATTAAAAGATAAAAATTAAAAATATAAACTTCATTTCTCAATGTGAGCTCCCTCAAGTTCAAGAAGCTTTTGTAAACATTGATAACCATACATTTAGTACATCTCTAAAGAATTGAAGGTCCTAGGAATTTAACCATGTCAATGTAGTCTTTTTTACATTATTAACTGAAGAAAAGTATGTTTTAAAGAATTTTTAATAATAGGAAACAGAAATAAGTCAGATGGAGCCAAATCAGGACTGTAAAGTGGATGCTCAATGGTTTCTCAGTTGAAACTTGCAAAATTGCTCTTTGGGTGAGAGGAATGAACAGGAGTCTAGGCATGGTAGTGGATGATTCTCTGTTGAAGCTTTCTTGGACTTTTTCTGCTAAAGCTTTGTCTTAACTTTCTCAAAACACTCTCTTAATAAGTAGATGTAATTGTTCCTTGACATTCTAAAAAGTCAATAAGCAAAATGTCTTGGGCACTCCAGAAAACTTGGTGTTGCCTTGCTCTTGGTGAGTCGTCTTTTGCTTTGACCACGCCACTTCCTTCTTGGTAGCCATTGTTTTAATTATTCTTTGATTTTGCTTTGTTTTTAGGTTGTATTGATAAAGGTATGTTTCATTGCTTCTTACAGTTCATAGAAGAAATGCTTCAGGATTTTGATCCCATTGGTTTTTTTTTTTTTTTTTTTTTTTTTGACAGGCAGAGTGGACAGTGAGAGAGAGAGACAGAGAGAGAAAGGTCTTCCTTTGCCGCTGGTTCACCCTCCAATGGCCGCCGCTGCAGCCGGCGCACCGCGCTGATCCTGGCAGGAGCCAGGAGCCAGGTGCTTTTTCCTTGGTCTCCCATGGGGTGCAGGCCCAAGCACCTTGGGCCATCCTCCTCTGCACTCCCTGGCCATAAGCAGAGAGCTGGCCTGGAAGAGGGCACGGGACAGAATCCGGCGCCCCAACCGGACTAGACTCGGTTGCTGCGTCGTAGTGGAGGATAGCTTATGAGCCACGCGCGCTGATCCATGTAAATGTCACTGAGGTTGCTGTTGCAGTGATTACTGTCAAAGTTTTTCCACTAAAATTTTTTAGTCAAAATTCCGTAAGCTTAACCAGTTGAGACATTTTTGGTGTTGGTTGTTGTTTCTACTGTTAATCAGACTTCTTAAATAGGAAATGAATGAGGTTCTTAAAAACCTCATAAATTGTGTATGGTCTGATACTGCAGTTTTCATCTTCAAAATAGTCTTATCCTTTATACCATTTGCAAACTGCTGCTGATTTCTTTCTTTTTTTTTTTAAAAAAAGATTTATTTATTTAATTGAAAGTCACAGTTATACAGAGAGAGGAGAGACAGAGAGAAATAGAGGTCTTCCATCTGCTGGTTCATTCCCCAATTGGCCACAACGGCCGGAGCTGCGCCGATCCAAAGCCAGGAGCCAGGAGCTTCTTCTGGGTCTCCCACGCTGGTGCAGGGGCCCAAGGACTTGTTCCATTTTCTACTGCTTTCCCAGGCCATAGCAGAGAGCTGGATTGGAAGTGAAACAGCCGGCACTTGAACTGGCGCCCATATGGAATGCCAGCACTGCAAGTGGTGGCTTTACCCGCTGTGCCACAGTGCTGGCTCCATCAAACTGCTGATTTCTTTGGGGCATTGTCCTCATAAACTTTATATAAAACATCAATGATTTCATCATTCTTACTTCCACCCAAAGCTCAGCACAAATTTCATGTCTGTTCTTGCTTTAATTTTAGCAGAATTCATGTAATCTGAAAGGGACTCTTTAGACATTGTCTTATCCTTCTTAGTGACTTAAACTAGGTCTTTTATAGACATGTTATACCAAGTTACTATGAGTTTATTTTGGTGCAAAACATTTTTGAAATCCATGCCTGATTTTTCGTAAAGCACATTTTTTTTTGTGAACTTTTTGAAGACACAACCCATTACATTTGTATAACATTGTCTGACATCAGAGAGAGATTATTATACTGTTTTATATTCCAACAAATTTATACTCCAACAGCAGTTATCTTTTGTTCTGACCTGTGTGTTTGGGTTGATGCAAATTGTGTGAGGGGGTAGGGGGTGGAAGGGTATTGAAATAATCCTAACCAGTATTCATCCATTGTCATTCCAAAAGAGATAAGCTTTATTTTATGTGTATTATTACAGAGACACGTATTCAACTCTACCTTTGAAAAGTAGGAGAGAAAATTTCTGTGGCACATCAAGTGTTATTTCAATTAGTTACAGTATAGCTTCCACAGATGATAAAGATTTTGTGTTTGAGTTTCTGCATATAGTTTTATTTGTGAAAAAAAAACTGAAGGACTTTCTGGTGCAAGGGATAAATTTGAAAATCATTGTCTATACAAAATACAGTTAGGAAAACAGTGTAATTATTACATCTGCATAAAATTTCTTCACTAGAAAATGTTTTTGTTCTCCAGAAACTCTTAATATATTACAACAGTTGGATTATAATGAATAAAGAAATCATGTTTTGTATTGAATAATATACCTTACCTGTTTACCTAATTTTTACTCCAACTCTTGCAACAAAGCCTGTGAACAATGTAATAAAAATATTATCTGACTTTAGAGCTATGTATTTCTACTTTTTATCTTAGACATCTTTCCATTTTCTCAAATCTGTGGACTTTTCTGGTGCTTTCTTCTGTTTCTGTATTTTATGTTGCCTTTTGTGCTATGCAAAATTTATTCCTTTTCTCTTTAAATTTCCCCCTTTGTTGAGTTTTCCATAGCAGTTATAAAAGCAAAATTAATGGCCAGTGATGAGTTGACTCTTTCAGAAGGTTAGATGATACTTAAAACTCTATTTTTGAGAGTTGCTAATTTATAGCCACTTCATTATTTTGCTCCTGTATCCCATAGTAGTGCAAAAGTATGCTCCTTATAGCTTTCCTTGTTTATTTCTTTTTGATGTCATCACTTTAATTTTAAAGTTAGGCCTTCTATTCGTACGTTTAGCAGTTTTTTATTTTTCATTTCTATTTTTTTTATGGTATGAGCCATTGCTGTAGAGAGTGGTAATTTTACTTGTTTAAATAAAGTTAGTATATTTAATGAATATTTTTCCCTCTTTTAAAGACTGTGAACCAGAAGAGCTGACTGACTGGTCTATGGATGAAAAATGTTCATTTTGTAATCTACAGAGAGAAGCAGTCAGTGTAAGTTTTAGTGCTAAAAAACTATTTTTAAATTAATTGCACAGTTGTAACTTTTTTTTCTTAATTTGTCTGGAAATTTGTGACTCACAGTGGAAGTTTAAATACTTCATTTTGGTAAATGAAAAGAATAAAAGTCTTATGTAGGAAATCTAACATTTAGCTTAATTAGCAGGTGAAAATCCTAGAAACCTCATCTTTTTGCTCATTTATTATTGCCTTATTGTTTCCTTACTGAAGAAATTCAATTCAGGTCTCTTTTGTGTTTAGTTATATAAATGTGAGGTTGGGAGCCTAGTTTGGCCTGAGATTTCCCACAATCTGACATTTTAGAAATTGGTAGTAGAGGTATAATGTACAGCTAGTTTTTAGTCTCTCATTTACCCCTGAAGTTTTAGGATATAATAATTATTTCTGTGTAAATAATGAAATATTTAAATACCCACTTTGTAAATAGGACATAAACTATACAGCCAGCATTTTTACATATGGGAAATCCTGATTGCTTATCTACAAGTGTGAGAAAGGCTAGGAAGAAAAGAGATTTTGAGAAACTACTGGTTTCAGGCAGATTCGTGAGTTAATACATCAGCTTTGTTAAAATTCTGATGTAATCACATTATGGCATGTCATGTAGTGAATTTACTAGCTGTGTGTGTTTCTACTCTTCTTCCTTTTTGACTGTAGTTTTGCTAAGGAACAAGGCTATCTTGGTCCTTTTTTCTGAACTAAATTTCTTTTCTCCTTACTCTTCTTTCAAATTTTATTTCCCTCAATATAATTTGATGTGAGTTTATAAATTAGAACAAATGGAGCAGTGCTTTCCATTGATTAATTCAATGAAAGAATGCCATATGTACATATAAAATGATTTTTTGTGTTTGTTTTCTTATAATTTTAGGATTGTATACCATCTCTTGATTCTTCACAGTCAACACCAACAGAGGAGCTATCATCTCAGGGCCAGTCCAACACTGATAAGATTGAATGCCAAGCAGAAAATTACCTAAATGCACTCTTTCGAAAGAAAGGTAATACTGGTATGTTTTGTCATTTAATGTTTTCAGTAAAAATTTAAAATGTTTGATTTTTCTCACACAAGAATATCTTAGTCTCAACTTCATTCCTAATTATTACTTTATCCATAATTTTTCTTCATAGATATGTTAGGATTCTTACTCTAGTGCTAGTCTTGTACTTGGCGTTCCTATGTGGCATTATGTTCTCACATCTCTTTCTGACTTTATCATTCATTTTTCCCTTCCACTTACAGGCACCTTTCAAAAATTTTTTTTGGTCTTCCTTATTTTATTATTGTTCTCAACTTCAAAAGTTGCTTGTTCAATAAGTTATACATTAAATGAGTATTGTAACCTATCCCTAATAATAGTTAAATCATTTATCAGCTAGATTATAGTATATTTGCTGGCTTGCTACTTCAGGATTTGTTAGCTTCAGTATGCTTACTTGACATTAAAAAAAAAAAAATCAGTGTTCTTTTTTACTCCTTGTCTGTCGATATTTTTTAATCCAAATGGGTCTTTTTTCATTTTTTTCCCTTGCTTGACACACCTACAAGCAGAAGTAGCTTTTTGAGAAAGTGCTTGTTTGGGAAAAATATAGAAATACAGAACTTTCTACTTTTTTGCTCTTGACCATTCCCACATTATTAGTGTGCATTATTTTTTCACAACATGGACTTTTAGAGAAAGTTATACTGCAAGTTGGGGATTATCTTATCGCTTTTAGAGATTGAGAAACATTACAATATTCTCATCTAACTGTCATACCTATTTTACTCCCTTTGGCATTAGGTACCATCAGATACTTTCTATTATATTGATGTTTCATGTTTTCATTAGTAATGTTTAAAATACTCATCTTTGAGAAAAGAAATCTTGTTTAATCTTTTTCAAAAATTTCAATCTTAGCCAAAGTTAAAAATATTTTACATACTTTCTTAAAAACTTTACAATATATTAATTTAGCAAACTTTATTTTGCCAATAAATTTACAGCTATAGGAAGAATTATGTTATCAGGTTATATTTCTAAAATAGCTATAGGAAATGTATACATTTACACATACACACAGTTTGATTTGCCTTGGAACTCAGTATTCAATCTCCTTTTCTTTTGAGTCATTTATAATAGTAGTAAGTATGATTATCAATAATAATAACAAACAATTTTTGATAGTATGGAGTTAACCTTTGCTCCATTGCTTTATTAAGAGTAATCAGTAAAAACTTGGTACTATTTCAGCTGATTCAAGCATCTGAGTCTCCAAGAGGTCTCCTACCAAAGGTTGGGTGAGTGTTCTTGGATATTTAGTGACCTCTCTCCATTTGGGAATTTCTTAGTTTTCTTCAAGATCCTTTGAAAGAATGAAGAGTTTTAATTTAAAGGTTCTTACTGGTGTTTTTGTTTTTTTTTCAGGTCTTATCTTTGTTAATTCCTTTATTTGTAGTTCATCAACACTTTCCAGATTTAGTTAAGCTTACAACTTTTGTACTTATTTACTAGTGGTTGTTTTTAAATTCTCTTTCAATAGGATAATTTTAGTGATTTCCAATATGATCTGACAGGATGGAGCTGGAGTTAATAACAGTATCATAAATGGTCTTAACTCCACTAACTTCTTGTTGAGTTCTGTTGGTAACTATTTATGAAATAAAAGGCAAGATATATGTTTTTAAAGACAGGAAATACTTTGTTTCTTTGGAGTAGCAAACAGAATTTAGTAAAGCATCTTGTTAGCGAAACTCTTTGTTTCTTGAAAATTTATCCAATATAGTTACATTCTTGGGCATTCTGGATATTGATGGCATTCATATTAATGATATTTTAAATCTGTTGCTTAATTTGAGGAATATATGTGCATGTTGTTCATCTTGCCAAAACAAAGAATCTTCTAATATTCTTTTTGTTCTTATTGTTTTCCCCATTACTGGGAATGGTGCTACTGATGAATGTAAACTATTATTATTGATCATAGTTATGTTTTAGAAAGCTTTTGTTTAATAAATATAAATTTCATAGGTACAACTTTTGGAATATATCAGTTCTTCTCCCCTATACCCACACTCACACCCCCAAACCATCCCACCTCCTACTCTCTCTCCCATCCCATTCTTCATTAATATTCATTTTTAATTATCTTTATATACAGAAGATCAACTCTATACTAAATAAAGATTTCAACAGTTTGTACCCATACAGACACACAAAGCATCAAGTACTGTTTGAATACAACTTTTACTGTTAATTATCACATTATAATTCATTAACGACAGAGGTCCTACCTGGAGAGCAAGTACACAGTGTCTCCTGTTGTTGATTCAACAATTAAAACTCTTACCTATAACATCAGTGATCACCCAAGGCTGTTGTTGTGAGCTTCCAAGGCTTGGAAGCCTTTTGTAACCACAAACTCCATCAATATTTAGACAGGACCATAAGCAAAGTGGAAGTTCTCCCCTCCCTTCAGAGAAAAGTACATCCTTTTTTGATGGCCCCTTCTTTCCACTGGGATCTCACTCACAGAGATCTTTCCTGTAGATCATTTTTTGCTATGGTATCTTGGCTTTCCATGCCTAAAATGCTCTCATGGGCTCTTCAGCCACATCCTAATGCTTTAAGGGCTAATTCTGAGGTCAGTGTACCATTTAGGGCATTTGTCATTCTGTGAGTCTGCTGTGTGGCCTGCTTCCCATGTTGGATCATTTTCTCCTTTTTAATTCTGTCTATTGTTATTACTAGACACTTGGCCTTATGTATGTGATCCCTTTGGCACTTAATCTTATCTGTATGATCAGTTACACACAATGTGTATTGATCATATTTATTAACTGAAGTAATGATTTATGTCATCAGTTATGATTGAGCATTAAGTCTTTTATATGTTTTCTCTCATTCAATTACAAAGCAATCTTAAGAGATAAATACTGTTATTGTAACAATAGGGACAAGCTAACAGAAGTTAAATAGCATGGCTTTTGGTTCTATATTATAAACATTTGAGCCTTCAAGAAGAAATTAACGAGAAAAATGGTGTTCTGTATGAAAAACACTCCAAGTTTTTAAAAGTATTAAATAGAAAAAACTTTATATTTCCAGCTATTTAGCAGTCTAGGATTAAAATTACTTTATTTGAATTAGATTATAGAGGGACTATAAGATATGCTCTACATTTCTCATAGTTTTCTATTTTTCCTTTATACAAACTGTGAACAGTTTTAGCAGTGAGTTTCCACACAATATTTAATAGATTGTAGGAGTATCAGTGGCATTAGACCTTTTCAGGAGTGGAACAAGCTTATTACTTAAACTAAATATAACTCAGACAGTTGCTTATAATCAGAAGCTAGTCAGAAATAGACGTTCAGGGTTGACTATGTAGAATGGGAGAAGGATGTTCTAGTACAAAGATAAATTTTTAACTAGTCTTTTGCATATGCTTTACTTTAGAAGTGGTCAAAATTGAATTCTTTCCAGAGATTAACCCTAAAATTAACTAATGTGCTAATGTAAAATAAAAATTTCATTTTCATTATTGTGGAATTCTCAGCTTCTAAGATGATACTTACCACATATTAGGTCCTCAGTAAATACTTCTTGAGTCAATAAAAACAAAGATAAATTATATCCATACATCTTTGTTTCTTTAAATATTCAATTAGGTGTTAGTACTTAATCTCTTAGAAAAGTGAATTATTTAGATGTACATGTAGTTTATTTTTTCTTACTTTGTACTTAAATATTTTATATAATTTGAGTATCAGTGTGAGTGTGAATAAATACAGGCATGTAGATAATAAAATGCCTTGTCCAAACCTGTCTCCATGAAATTAAATTATTTGGGCTTTAGCATCTCATTCTTGGATCACCTGAAGTGTCTTGAGTTACTGGCTTAGGAATGAAGAATGAGTCTTTTATTTCTAAATTAAACTAAGCTGGACATGACTAAATTGAACAGATAATACATGCAGATTAGTTGAATGGCTATACTGCCAAATATACAATAAAATGAACTCATCCTTTATAAAAAAAATCAATATTTTTTCCTGCTCACCCCAACAAACCTTTAGTATTCATTGAAATGGTATCTGTTATGGGTTTAAAAGAATAAGACCTTTTTGATGGAATTAATTGAAAGTTCTATATTAACGAATGCTTTTGCTTTAAATTAATTAATACGGATTGGGCATTAGCATGGGAGATTGTTAAGTTTTGGACTTCCAGGTTCTCCTAGCCCAGCCTTTTTATGTGGGCATTTGGGAAATGAATCAGCAGATGTAAAATCTCTGTCCTTCCGTCTATCTTTCAAATAAAATCAAATAATCTTTTAAAGACTTATTTGTTAGGGAAAGCTGAACAGTTTGGCCTGCCACCTTTCTTCTCCACAGAGCTCTGGGCCCAGGCAGCTTTCTTCAGCCCAGTAGGGAAAACACATCAGGAATTTGCATAAGACAGTGTGCAAAATGGAGCTGGAGGAGCGCTATTTGTGCACAGAGACACTTCTGAGAATAACCCAGATACTCCATTTGATTTCACACCAGAAAACTATAAGAGGATAGAGGTAACTGTAAAAAACTATCCAGAAGGGCATAAAGCAGCAGCTGTGCTTCCAGTCCTGGATTTAGCCCAGCGACAGAATGGGTGGTTGCCTATCTCTGCTATGAACAAGGTTGCAGAAGTTTTACAAGTACCTCCAATGAGAGTATATGAAGTAGCAACTTTTTATACGATGTATAATTGAAAGCCAGTTGGAAAATATCACATTCAGGTCTGCACTACTACGCCTTGCATGCTTTGAAACTCTGGCAGCATACTGGAGGCCATTCAGAAAAGCTTGGAATAAAGGTTGGGGAAACTACACCTGACAGACTTCTCACTCTTGTAGAGGTGGAATGTCTAGGGGCCTGTGTAAATGCACCAATGGTTCAAATTAATGACAGCTACTAGGAGGATCTGACACCTAAGGATATTGAGGAAAACTATTGATGAGCTGAAAGCTGGCAGAATTCTAA